CTTTGCGCTGATAATCCTTGGTTTGTGTCAATCAATAGCTGTGTTCCTCCGTTTCTTTCTTCTCTCTCGAGTAACGAAATTTCAAATTACTCTCCATTGTCCTCCAAATCTGAGACCGCTGCCTGAGAAGTTTCACTTCGAAAATGATTTTGCAAAATTTCGGTTTTTTATTAATATCTCCGGTATTCGAAATTTTCCAAATTTCCTAACGCCATTTAGGTGAGCAAGAAGTTGCGTAACTTTGACACAATTTAACTGATCCTGTATCTCTTATGGTGACCGAGATCCACATACTTACTCGCGAATTTGTAACACCCTGTATAGGCTATAATGATGAATAGAATATGTTTATAGTTTGTTTGATTCAATCCAGTGACGCCTTCTAATTATAACAGAAATATTGTAATCCCTTTTATTAATGAATTAATAAGAGGCCCATAATATGCTCGGTTTGCTCAGCGAATATGGGTGGGTGGATAGTTTATTAATTACAGAATGACAAAACATCAAAATTTATTTTTAACTAGGGTTAAAAAATAAAATAAATTGTAATTCTAGGTAACTAACTATATGAGATCCTTTATACTAATTTCGGAAAAACACAAAAATATTAATCATAATATTTGTACTATTCTCCTTGTAATTTTACTTACATTACCAGGCACGCTGGCGGCATGGAATGCCGAAAATTCAACACCTTGAAGTTCAAGAACTCACTGACATCTGAACAAGCGCTCTAAGGTCGTGAATTGTGCGTAGTAGGTTTCCTGATATAATCATTTGAACATAGCTAGACGGACAATATGATTAAATCCACAATATTTGCGTAATCCTTGAATTAGTAAAAAGGCGGCATAGAAGGCCGATAGCGCGATTGCCTGAGGGTTAAAATAAGGAAGGGTGAAAATTTAGAAACCCACCTAGGAAACAATCAGCAAACGGTAATTGGTAATTGGTAATTCTGAAAAGGAAATAAATAAGACCCATAAGCCAAATCTTGACATATAGGTAAACTAATAAAACAATTAAATAAATTTCAAATTAGAATAGTAAACATATTCAGTCAGTCATAAATCCAGCATTGAATTATTTCCAAATATAAAATCAATTATTGTTGGTAAAACACAGATCAAATCAAATAGAAGAGGATACCTTTCAATGAGATTCGTCAAGCTCAAAAAAATAAAATAATAGTATAAGAACAATGCACCTCAATATAGGTACTTGCCATATAAATTCATTAACAGTCGCTGGCCACATCATTACCAGGAAATGCAAATATAAAAGATTAAGGGTTCCAGAAAATGTTTTAAAAAAAATTGAAGGATTGAAAAATTGTGTTGATAAATATGGTCAGCTTCTGCAAAAAAATTAATTCAAAAAAATCAATTGGTATCCGTAAAAAATTGAAAGTTGGGTCATATAACAGTTAAATGGTTTGAAGACATAAGGGAAATCCTCCAATATATACGTTATAGGACTTCGGGTTAAAAATTGATCAATTTTCGAAGATAGGCTTTTGCTTAACAATTTCAAATTTAGAGCGGTGTCAAGACTAAGAGATTTTAAATGTGTATGGAAATCATATTAAAAAAAGATATCTTAATTTTGTTAATTGAATATAAAACTGATTTTATAAAAGAAAAGGTATTAAAAGTTATTGATGAAACTTTATACAAGCCTCCATTTCAACATAAGTTAGAGCACGGTAGCCATCCATTCTCGATCATTTGACGAGGGAAACTGTACGTGGAAGTTGCAGATTCTAGCTCAGAATCAAGGTAGATAAGAGACTAGTAGTTCTCAGTTGTCATCAAATGTGGGGCACAAGTATCGAGTGGGTCTTGATTTTTGTAGTTGTTTGTTGTTGTTAAAAGCTCTATGCTACACTCCACGGAAATAGTGTTCTTAATAAAAACGTGGCCTTTTAGGAATAGATTTGTTGAAAGAAGCGGCTCTTCCGAAGACCCTGAGTAATAAAGGCATTCCTTGAAAAGCTATTACTCAAACAAAAATTAAAGAAACTTACCACGAGGGGTTTCAAATTCAAACTTGAATAAAATGTTAATCACAAAACTTTTAATTCAAATTTTTTCGGCAATCAACGAATTATTGCCTTACACAACTGAATTTCATTAGGATAATGCCCGAAGGCCGATAAGGTACTTTATTTTTCCACGAGCACGGTTGTCCGATCAACTCGACGACACAATTCAAAAAGAAAAATAATTTAAATGGACAAGGTGAGTAGACAGCGCTTCCTCTCAACGGCAAACGTTGGTACTAACCGGTTCGTCAAATTTAAATGAAAATCGTGCCCTCCAGTGTAATAATTCAATATTTGCTAATATTATAAGTAGCGGGAACCCTGTGTTTTTGATGCTAGTCACCACACTGTCAACATTAAAAGGGTAATATGAAATTAAATTTGAAAGAAAAAAGGAACAAGTAACTTTAAAGTCCAATTTATAAACTCGGTGTCGAGATTCCGTTTGCGTTTGCGTATGCGTATGCGTCGCTTACGCCATTACCAATTGAATATTAGAAATCCCATTAGATCGTTTATACTCGCCGTCGGCCTGACAGTTCGCCGTCAGCATAGAGACTACGGTAAACGTAGACGCAAACGGAATCCCGACGGCGAGTTTATAAATTGAGCTTGAACGTTACAATATTCAGTGCTTGATGTATAAAAAAGATTGTAATGCTTGTCCCACAAACTCTGGAGAAAACCAACGGTAATTTCAAGTCTAGGTCAAATATTTCACTTTTGGTTTCAACAAAAGTATCTTGGATATCATATGGCATAAATTCGGCAATATACTTATAGATATTATTATATACTTGGCTTGAAAGACAATAACTGCAGTTTATCTGTGTTTCTTATCTTTTCAACAATCCCTAGTAAAATTTTCGAACCAATCATTCCATTCTTGTGATCGCTAGGATCAGTTTCGTCTAGTGGGTCGTGGAAGTTTTTCCTTTCTACTCTAATTCACGTTTATTTTTTTTTATCACTATTCTTAGTGATGATAACAGAATTATCACATAGCATGAATAGCAAAAACATAGAGTGCAGCTCAAAGTGTAGGTACCCAAACCGCTAATATTGTTCAACGAGTCAGGGTCTGTATCAAAACGCACTCAAGTACTCTATTTAATTAGTTAGAAGGTAAATGGCGAGCGGTATATTGATGGTGTTAATTTCCTTGAGCAGCTACCTATAAAAGTGTGGAGGGGGTCTATTCACACTCAAAACCAAAATTAAAATAAAGCAAATATCTTTCTATGTCTGACAGCCACTTCTATTTTTCCCAAATCAAGTTATTTCACATCCGTTCAAATTTCATTACTATGGACCAGGAAATATCCATACTAAAAACGTCCTACTTCTTCTATTCTTAATAACTTATAAGTTTATACATTTACTCTTCTAAACAACACTTCCTATTCACATTCCTATTAAAACTACCTTTCACCTATATCTATAAATTCATAAAAACTCCTAAGTCATTTACTGATAGCTTATGCAAAATAATTATTTAAGTCTTAATCCTACTCACTGGATTAAGTATATATTATGTATCACCAACTATATTTTCATAAAAACCTTACAATAATTTCTAAATGAAAAATCCCTAATTCATTTCATAAACAAAAGTTTCCTTTCAAAACTTCCCATTAAAATTAAGGGTTTAATTCTTTTACTAAGGATCAATTTAAACAGAACAATTACAATTACTATTTTCGAATTCCTATCCAACACACACAAGTATTTAACTTTCTAATTAGTTAGTTACCCTAGCCCTTAAACTTCAACTGGACAATCCAATTCAAATTCATACTCAAACTCGATAATTGTCAGAGCATTATAATTTCCCCTTTTAAATTCTTTGCAAAATTAATTAAAATGTCATTGTACTCGAAGGCAATTAAAGTTATGCAATAAAGTTTTTACAGTCAAATCACTCAAGTTTTTACGCATTAAAGTTCAATGTCAATTCACTTCTTATCATTCCGAATCAATGATAAAAGTTTTAAAAAAACAATACTAGTCACTAGAGTACTTACATTTAAATTGTCACTCGATACAATACTTAATTAATTTACTCAAAATTCAGCTAGAACACGCACATAATGTTGAACGACTTTAAATGTTCTCTCTTTCACAATTTTCTGTTGCTTTTCAAAGTTCAATTTAACGCGTTTACCCGAGGCAAGAAAATCAAATAAACTCTTCGCGAATTCTAACCGGACTGACTCATTAGGAACTGTAGAGTTTAACTCAAACTGGACTGAACTGCCAACTGATGATCTCAACTGCTCCTCCACTTCTAAAACCGCTGTATTTATATGTTTCGTTCCCCCAAAAATTCCAAATTTCATCATTCAATAACCTTCCTCTTTTATTTAATCGAATAATCATGTCTCAATGTCCTGGTTAATCGCGGTCAACAGATTTGGTTGTAAGAATTAGACATAAAACTCAAAGAAAACCGACAAACACATGCGGGCCATAATTCACCTATCTAATTAGGTACTTTGGCCTCGCTTTTAATATTTTTATGAATTTGATTTAGATGATGACACAGGCTTGGTGACTAAATAATATAATTTTAAACGTATGTTAATATTTATATAATTTGGGGTCAACGTTAATTTGTTTCATTTTCAGTTTATTGACACTGATTTGAAATTCAGGAAATTCAGTTTTTGATTGTTTGATTACATTTAATTTTTACAGTTAAGACATTGTACATCAGGGGTCTATTTTCCCGGGTCATTACAGGTCCATGATCATATTCCAGGAACACTTCAGTACATAAGCTCGGTGACAGAAAATTATCATTCGCTTGCAAATAGACATCGATTGAAACGTTGTATAAAAAATAAGAACCAATACGGATCTTAAACTTCGACCATTTTTCTTTGTCAACTGAAAAATTACCTACCACCTACAATTGAAAAATATTTGAAGTTGAATATATTTTTTTTTTCAGATTCAATGCAAACGTTATGCAAAAACCACTTCCTGCAGCAACTCTATCGGAAAATAGACGGTGCCGTTTTATGGAGCCAGAACGAGCGAAATTTGGATTGCGTGATCACATTCCAAACACACTCTATTCTTCAACGGTTTATGCTCAGATTTGATGGCTTACAATTGGATTGTAACGACCATCTTTTTATTTACGATGGAGCACACGCCGTGGGAACTTATAAGGTAAGTTTTTAGCTGGAATTTGTATAGTTATTACGGCTCCACGAATTAAAATTTATCACATCCATTTTAAACTACTCACGTATAGGTGTAATTTTCTAAAACATCTTAAAAATAAATTGCAATCGTCTTTTTTTATTTTGTCTGTCAAATTAATTGTCTTTGAGAAAATGGTCTTGGAAGGCAAAAGTGAACCAAATATTTTTATCGACCTCCGGAATTCTTTATTTTCAAGTTTACTGACCAAAACAGGAGGTTGCAGTTAATCGGACAAAAAATTCCACACTATTTTTGAGTGGTTGCTTTTATGAGAACACAAATCGGGGTAGTTATTTTCTATTTTTCCCACAAGCGTAATCTTTCCGAAGAAGGGCTTTTTCCGCACGCTAAGTAGGAGAAAGAACCTCACACTTGAATTTTTGTTGTTGTCCTGACTTGCTTTCAAATATCTGCTTTATTTTTCAATGAATCAAGTTGGTGTATATCGTATTTTTCTAGCATTCGATAAAACTGCAATCTAATTGACTGACTTGAGATTGTAACGCTCCATATCTTACTCTTGTACTTTCCATTACCTTTGTTCCATCCAATCCTGAAATCTAAAATAAGACAGAAAATTAGCCGTGACATGTAGGTATAGTGAAGTGAATAAGTGAATATTTTTTTCCCCTAGGCCTATCCTACTTACGTTTTCATCCAGCACTGCATCATATTGTACTCAGCCTCTGTGATTTGCTTTATCAGCAACTCCAAAGTCTTTGGAGCCCTGGTGTATGGTTTTACAGGTCTTTCACTGGGCGTATACAGGGTGTCCCTGTTCAACTGGTCAAAAATGCTAGGGTATATAGAGGAACCATAGAGAAGTAGTTTGAGATAGGACACCAATGGTTGAAAGTGCATCGTTTCCAAAATACAGGGTGTTAAAATTTAAACAACCCCCTTTCATATCATCTGGAGCGCTCATGCTAGGCTGTTCAAATTTTCAGGGATTATTGATGTAGGAATGATATTTAAAAATTCGTATAATGCACTTTCATTTTCTACCTGGAACCACCCCAAAAAAAAATAACATTTCAAACAAATTTTTATTTATTTTTTTAAATTTTATTTTTTATATTTAGATGGTTCCAGGTTTCAGGTAGAAAATGGGGGTATTATACGAATTTTTAAATATCATTCCTATATCAATAATCCCTGAAAATTTGAACAGCCCTAGTATTAGCGCTTCAAATGATATATGAGAGGAGGTTGTTCAAATTTCAACACCCTGTAGTTACTTCCCACCATTGGTGTTCCATCTCAAACTACTTATCTACAGTTCCTCTATATACCCTAGAATTTTTGACCAGTTGAACGGGGACACCCTGTATTTATTATTTTTGGGTCTATATTTCAATCCTTCTTTTGTTGTCGGCTGTTGCTAGACCAACTCTATATACGCACCAAAACTAGTCTCCCCTTTAATCACAAAGTGTGGAGGTGGAAAGCCTAAGAGGCTAATTTAGAGGCTTCAGTTGGCGTGGTCAGCATTGGCCCCTTTTTTATAGTAGGGGTTGGAAATGCATTATGCACGCCTAGGGCATTGGTGTTCTGGCGCCCTAGGGAGTGTGAGACTCTCACCCACTAATACCCTTCCCCTACTCTTCGCAGGTTCCCTTCCCGGGACCACTTTTCAATATTACTTCAGGAGGGGCTACGGACAATTTGTCTTGTTGCAGGCACAAACGTTTCATGCTCTTTTATTCTCTTTTTCTCTCTCTTTCCTTTCTTCTTCCGCCTTTAATTTCATGATTCTGCGTAGCAGTTACTTTCGCTCTGCAATAGCAGTTCTGCTATATTGTCCTTATCTATTCTTACTCCACATTTTAGTTCTGCAATCAGTCTGCCATCGCTCCATTAAATCTTCCCTTGCAGCACTTTTTTGCATTTTGCCCTTCCTGTGTATCTCTGTCCTTTCTTGTGCCATCAAGTCAATTGGGGGCAGTTTCGCAACAGCTTCAATCGCTCTTCCTGACACCGTTCTGTATCCTAAGACCAGCGCAATAGCCGTCTTCTGTTTACGCTCTCCAGCATGCTTCTATATTTTTTAAATCTTAACGCATTTATTCAGATTGGGGCTGCGTACAGGGCAGCTGATATTACTGCTGTTTCCATAATTCTTCTTTTGCAAATTTTTGCTCCAGTATCATCAGTCATATCTCCCCTTTGTTATCTGCTCCCTGATCTCCTGTATTCTTTGTATGGCGCTTATCGTAGACTTGCCGCCCTTAGTATAACCGTATTGGTCTGCGTGATTTATATCTGTCTCTTGGAACTTCTTCTGCATCCTTATCTTTATCGACATTTCTAGCAGTTTGCCTATGGTATCGATGAGGCACAAAGGTCTAGAAGCAAGTAATCCCATCGGGTCATTTACCAGTTTCTCTATCAAAACTAAATTGGCATTCTTCCATATTCCAGGAAATTCTCCTTTCTTAAGACAGCTGTTGAAAACTTTTAGAAATATATTTTCTTTCCTCTTCCTCCTCTGCAGTTCTTGCTCGTGCTCTTGTACCCTTCCTCCTTAGTTTGATGCATTCCTTCCTTTTTGTTGCTATGTCACTGGTCCACCAATACGCTGGGTCTCTACCCCGGTATCCCTTGTTTCTTTTTTGAAAGTTTTTATTGCATTTCTTAATGATCTCATGCATTCACTAGAATTTCGGATATGACATCTATTTCATCTCGTGGCATCTCTACACTCTCTCGTAAAGTTTTTCATGCTCGTTTCCTCCACGTGCCATCCTGTTTTACCTCCGTTCGATGGTCCTGTCGTGGCTGCATTTGTCTCCCACTCAAACTCAAAAGTGATTGTGTTGTGGTCGCTCAAGTTCTCGTTTTCTTCTTGTACTCTCCACCTTTTCACGTGTCCGCAGATATCCTCGGTTGCTGTCGTAAAATCAATTATGGAGGTTCCTTGTGCACTACTGAAAGTTGGTTTACTTTCCTTGTTTATTACTTTAAGTCTGTTTGCAGCCATCCAGTCCTCTAGCATTCTGCCTCTTAAGTTGCTGTTTGGTGAGCCAATTGCCGGCGTTTTTGCATTCAGGTCCCCTCCTATGATTATTCCCTTTTTTATTTTCCTCATTTCGGTCTCCATTTTTTGTAAGAGGTCCTCAAAATCCATATTGCCATTCGCTGAGAAGTTACACGAAAACACACAGCATTTATCCAATTCTACATACACAAAGTCCTTGCCTCTATAACTACTTATCACACTATGCTTATTGCTGGTATTTATGAAGGTATCACTATCACATGTTGTATCACTAAAATCTATTCTTTGGTTTCGTCTCTTTGGCTCTTGTCCTATCATAATATCTACGCGTTCTTCATGCATTGTTTTTAGCAGGAGGTCCTGCGCTGCCCTACACCTATTTAAGTTAAGTTGTAGGACTTTCATTGTTTTTCTGCTATTAGTGGGTTTATTGGCCATCTAGTGGTTGTTCGCATTGGCCCGCAGGCAAGTCTTTGCACCTTGCTTGTTTCTCGAATCGCACTTCTCTGCTTTGTCATCGGTCACCAAACCAGAGGGGCATATTCTGAAATTGGCTCAACCATCATCTTGTATGTTCGACAAAGGATGTCCGGTCTTAAGCTTCATTGAACTCCATGCAAGCGTCTTTTTTTTTTTCAATGATGTCAGCCCTTTTTTAATAGTAGTTTCCAGGTAAGTCTCAAGTTCACTACTACACCTAAAATTTGACTTGGTCCGATATCTTGATGCTTTAGGGCTTTTGCCGTGATAGGAAAGCACCCCGTCCTACAGAAACCCCGACGCAACAGTGCTTGTAACATTTCTCCTCTTGGTATGGAGTTGGTCTAAAGTCTCTTATGCTGATCTGACTATAACGTCGAAGGAGGAGATGTCAAGAGACCCTTTACGTCCACGAAGGATTCCAGCATCAGTGTCCTATCTGGTGGAGTCTCTGTTGACATGTCTGGCCGATATGTCTGTTGTTCGGGTTTTTTAATCTAGAACTTTTTCCATATCGAGTCTTATTATCCAAGATTCTGGTAAGAATGTTAACCTAGTGTGTCTCCAAGTTTTCGGTATGTCGCCTCAAAGGCTAGTCTTCTGAAAATATTATCCTGTACAGGGTGTCCCATTTAAGATGGTATTGGGGGTTATCTGCTAAACTCGTAGAGATAGATTTTTTTTGATTTCACATTCCTGGGCCAATTTTTTATGACGAATCGAATGCCGCAAACCGCAAGTCTCTATCTTGTACCGTTTTGGAGATACAAGGTGAAACTTGAAATTTCCACTTTTCGAGGGTTGTCATTATCTCGCGTAAGAAAAAAGATATCGGAAAGATGAAAATTGTATCTGACGCAGTTTTTTACGTAGATTTCATTGGCGTACTGGTTTTTTTTTTCGAGGTACCGTTCAAGAGATATGACACAAAATTCATCTTTTTTAAATGAGACAACCTGTAAATATTTTTCCATTTTTCGAATACGCATAAAATTACCTCTTCAATGATATATAATTTGTTTATATTCATTTGTGATTTGCCACATTAAATATTTGGTTTTATTTTCTGGTTTAGTATGTAACAAACCTATAATTTTTTAATTACCCTGTAAGATAATAGTTTTTTGAACCTTTTTTTTTCCATTTCAACGATATAGGTATTCCACTTCCACTACCTCTGCTTTAACGTCAAGAAAAAAAAATTTGATTGGAAGGAAAATTGGTGTGGATTAACCAGTACAGCAAATGTCATAAAAGAGATAATTAAATATCTTACTAATGCTCGGTAACTGAATTTGATAGTCTAAATTATTTTGACAATACAGGTATTCTTTCTATCTGAACAAACTGACTGTAATCATATCAGGTTTGTTTATGAGGCGTCAAAAAAAACAGTTAGGGCCAATGAAATCGTGGTAAAACCAGATGACAATTGTTCGAAATAAAACTCAAGTGGATTCAATCAGTTGTTCAGATCAAAAGAATA